ATGTTATGCCAATTGAGCTTGATGTCCCCTGCGACTATGGTCCCAAGCCTACAGGTTCAACTATGATTTGAGTGTATTTTAATATTTACTGTGATGTTGGACGGAACCTCTAAAAAGATCATCCAGAGTCTAAAGACATCTTATGCCTATAGTAGCAGCTTTTTAATAAATACAAGAGGAACTGGACATAAATCCCCTAATATAAGCCTCTTAGGAGCTGACAGTTCTCTTAGAAGAGCCCTGGGGAAGAGAGACAGGGACCACTCACGGGTCACCAGGTCGAAGCACTTTTTCTCCTCAGGGTTTGGCCTCACTTGGCACGTCAGCAGGGTCAGCTTCACTGGTGGCCGATTTATCTGTGGGAATTTGGGAATGGAAGATGGACATGTTACCCTTTGGGCCTTCCAAACTCTCTGGGCCTCAGTTTCCTAGTCTGTTAAACGGGTATAATAATCCTGTTCCAGCTTATGTTTCCCCTCCCCAGCACCTCAAGCATATGAGGATGAAGACTATGTTGAAGGCTTTGGGCCCCATCCTTCCTCCCACCAAGGGTCTCCAGATGCCTGGATCCTGTTCTATCAGTGCACATAAGTTTCTCAATGAAGGGAGACAGGCTCTGAGCAGCCTTCCAGCGATTCTGAGGGCCAGTCTTGGCACTTGTTTCCTCAGAACACCATGACGAGAGGAGCCATCCTGTATTGAGATTCCCAGCCCCTCACCGTGCTGTGAGAGATGGTCAGGCAGCCATACTTGACCCCACACTTCCTTTTTTGCCAGACTCTTCGAATTCTAGGACCCAGAGAGAGGGAGAGAGGAAAGGTGACCCAAGGGTCACATCTGATTCCCCTGTGTCAGGCAGAGTCCTGAGCCAGGGCTTAAGCCTCCTATACAACCTCCAACCACACCTTTTTATCCCTTTGCTCCCCTGATCTCAACACCCTATAACCTCCAGAAGCACCCTCTTAGGAAGCTGCCAGTCTGATGGGGAGAAAAGTCCCAGTCTCTGGGAATTTTCATTCTAAAGAGGACAATGTGGCTTTGGCCGTTTAAGAGTTTCTAGTCTGATGGAAGAGACACAGGGAGATTTAACAAAATTATCTTCTCTAAGTTGATTAGTAGGGAGCTCTGGTAACACAGTGCCTAAGGCATTTGACTGCTAACCAGAAAGTTAGTGGTTCAAACCCACCAGCCACTCCTTGGGTGGAAGATTGGGCAATCTACTTCCATAGTGGTACCGCCTCAGAAACCCAAGGTGGGGTTGCAATGAGTCGGATCTGACTCGAGGGCAGTCAGTTTGGTTTTTCTTTGAAGTTGATTAGTTAGTAAATACATGAACATATTCCATGAGGGCCTTTGTATTTCAGACTGGTATTTTTTTTTTACCATGGAGCAAAGCACAGCTGACACTCATTTCCAGGTATATTCAGTGTATTGCAGAGGCTAAGAGTGACTGCATGGAGCAGAGACTATCCAGGGCACAGTGAATGATCAGTAAATGTTAACTGCTGCTATTCATCTTTTTAAACTTAAGAACCACCAGCAACCTTTGCCAGAAGTTCTCAGGTGTCACGTACAACCTAGGATTGTGATGATTCCATATTGCCTACTGATCCTGGAACCCTGAGAATCTGCCCTGCCAATTACTAGCTGTGTGACTTTGGGCAAGTTACTTAAGTTCTCTAAGTCACTACTTACCCATCACTTTTCTTGTACAGAAAGCCCACCTTCTCTGTCCCAAACTGCTTGTTGCCTTGGTGCTGGTGGATGCTGTAACCACCTCCTGAGTTCTTCCGGCCCAGACTCTCCTGTTCCTCAGACATGCAAAGGAGACCTCAGGTGTCTGGTTGGGAAGATCCCCCTTCTGAGGGTCTTCACTCAGGGAGACTTCTAAGGGGATCCTGTGGCTCTCCTCCCTCCTCCCTTGGGGAAGGACATTTCTTTTTTTTTGTTGTTGTTATTATTAATGTTTAAAAAATTTTTGCAGTGTTCTCTCCCCTCCCCTCCCGCCACTGGTAACCAACAGAGGGGGAAGGACATTTCTCTTTTTTTTTCCCCTCATTATTATTATTATTTATTTTTGCAATGTTCTTTCCCTTCCCCTCCCACCACTGGTAACCAACAAAGGGGGAAGGACATTTCTTTAAGGATGATTCAAGAGCTGACCTCTCTGCTCTCTAGCTGTAGTGTCCCCCGTAGAGAGTCCCGGAGCTGAGTTAGTTTCTGCAGTTCCTCCTCCTGGGCTTGGCGCAGCTGTGGGAGAGAGGCAGGACATACCATCAGCCTGGAGAGGTCCAGGTGCAGAGCCCATACCCAGAGTAGGAGGACAATGGCCTCACTACATGGGCAGGAACTAGTTCTTCCACACCCAGTTTTTCCAGAAAGATAGATGCCCAAGAATAAAGTCTTACTTACTGTGTGTACTGAGGTTGCCAGCTTCTCAATGAAGGGAGACAGGCTCTGGGCAGCTTTCCAGCCATCTTGGAAAAAGCTAAGCAGTGTCACAAGCCAAATAAGGGACCAGAGAGAGATGAAAATGAGAGGTGAAGTCTGAAGTATGGAAAGGAGCTGCTCTAAGCATCACAGGGGACCTGGGAGCAGAGAAGTCTGATAGTCAAGAGCAGGCACTCTGGGTTCAGATCCCAGTGACTTAGCAGCATGCTCTTGGTAAATCTGACCCTCAGTTTTCTCATCTATGAAATGAGGACAGTGACAGTCCCTGCTCATAGGGTTGTTGGGGTATTAAGTGAGCTAAGAGTGTAAAGCACTTTGTGCCTGATATATGGTGAGCACCACCACAGGGTCACCATGTGTCAGAATCAATTTGATGGCAGTGAGTTTGGTTTTCTGGTTTTGATAAAGAGCAGTACCACTGAGTCATAGCCATCCACAGAGTCCTCGAGGGTTTGTCGGACCCCGGGGACAGGCCTTGTTCTGTGTTACCTGAAAGGGCTAAGGGGCAAGGTACATGGGGGTGAAGGCAGGGATCAGCATCATTGGCACTTGGGGAGATACCTACTTGTGCTGGGCATGGAAGAACTTGATGAGGCTTTGCAGAAAGTCAGGTCCTTGCTTCACTTGGCATTCTCCAGCTTTGAGCAAATACTAGGAGCAAGGGCAGGGCGAGATGTGCGATGGGAGCTGAAGCTGAATCCTGAGGACAAGGGGCTGCAGTCCCTGTCCCAGGCTAGTCCTCCTGGCCATGACCAAGCCTCAGTGACATCCCACAGGGCCATCTGGCCAGGAAGTGAGCTGAGCCTATGACTGGGCCCCAGGGGGTTTACTTGAGACAGACAGGAAGACACATGCACCCCCACAGCACCCTTACCTCACACATGTGCAGCTGGAAGATGCGCCGTTCTCTCTGTGTGTCCTGGGCCAGCTCCCCAGGGCTCCCTCCTGTCACCCTGGCCCTATCCCTCTCCTTCTCCAGCCTGGCCCTAGATCCCAAGGAAAGAGAGGCCTGAACAACTTTCCCACGGCCCCTTTCATGTCCCACTATCCCTGTTATCTCCTCTCTGCTATGGATATCCTAGAGTGAAGGGGAACATGTGGTTCACATGTTCCTGTGTGTCAGATGGTGTGGAGGGCCTGGAGGTGTAGTGATGAACAAAACAGAGTCAGAGAATCTACAGATTCATGGGGGAGAGAGACGCAAATTAAGTCACAACCATGACCACTGCTGTGGGAGCTGAAAGTAGGGAGATCCAACTTGTCTTGAGCTGGGAACTGATGCGTGAGAAGGCAACGAGGGCTAGGTAGGAGGGTCAGACCATGTGACAACTGCAGCAGGAGGGATCAGAGAATGTACAGGATTGAGGGGCTTGAATGCAGAGATGGAGAGGGAGGTCGTTCCAGATGAGGGCCAGACTGTGCAGATCTGATGTTGTTATCAGTCACTGTTGAGTTGATTCTGACTCATGGGGAGCCCATGTATGCAGAGCAGAACTGCTCCATAGGGTTTCCAAGGCTGTGACTTTTGGGATTCAGATCACCAGGCCTTACTTTCAAGGCACCTCTGATGACTTTGAACCACCAACCTTTGGATTAGTAGCCCAGTGATCAACTATTTGCACCACTCACAGAGTCCCATAAGGAGCCTGGTGACGCAATGGTTAAATGTTCTGCTGCTAACCAAAGTTTGGCAGTTCAAACCCACCAGGGGCTCTGTAGCAGAAAAGACTTGGCGATCTGCTCCCATAAAGACTACACCCTCGGAAACCTCATGGGGCCATTCTACTCTGTCCCACCCAGTTGCTCTGTGTTGGAATCGACTTGATGGCACACATCAACGTGGACTCCCACGCAGGGTTCAATTAAGATCACATTGAGGTCCTTGGTCTTCACCCCAAGAGAACTGGAAGGATTTCAAGGCTTTTATGCAGGGCGTGGAGGGGCTCAGATGGGGCCAGGTGGAATGCAGAGGGACCTGTTCTGATTTTGCAGAAGGGATTCAGGAAGGGTAGGGTACAGGGCCACAGAGTACTTCACTCTTCTGAGCCCATGAAAGTTTTAGAAGACCTTTGCTCCTTTTAGGAGCTCTGGTGGCATAGTGCCTAAGGCATCTGACTGCTAACCTGAAAGCTGGTGGTTCAAACCCACCAGCCACTCCTCAGAAGGAAGGTTGGGGAATCTACTTCCGTATTGATACCACCTTGGAAGCCCAAGGAAGGTTCACTATGGGTCAAAATCAACTTGAAGGAAGTGAGTTTGGTTTTTTTTTTTTTTTGGTTGCTCCTTTTAAGTGAAGATAGAAAGTGCTTCCCATTCTTGTAGTAGCTAAGAGTAACCTGAGCCTTCCCCCTAGGAATCTCAAGGGTTGACTGTTTTCCCTCTTTGGGGAGGGGTGGAACTGTGTGTGTAAACGGTTTCTTAGAAATCCTATGCCCATCAGATTATGACCGTATTTCCTTATCTGGGGCTGGGTACATATGACCACGAATCCATATAAAAATGTCTTCACAGTAATGCTTCTAAGTGGCCGTCAGTCCTGAGCAAAGACAGACCTGGGCTTAATATGGGGCCTACTGCTTACCAATTGCATTACTTCTCTCCAAGTTTCAGTTTCCTTACCTGGAATATGGGGGTCCTCACAGGTACCCAGATGAGACAAGGGCATGTAAAGGACTTAACACACAGAAGGCGCAACAACAGTTATTATTTTTAGTCTTGTAGGCCTCAGTTTTCCTGTTTGTAAACCAAGGAAGCAATGGCCTTGAATGAGTGCTTAGGTCCCTTTTGACTCTAAAGCTTAGGGCTTTACTGAGCTCAGTCTTTGGAACAGTGTTGATATGCACAATCTGTCTCTGGATACCTGTAGAGCAGAGTTCCACAAGCTTGGAATTACTCACATTTGGGGCTGGAGAACTCTTTGGTGCAGGGACTGCCCTGTAAATTACGGCATGCTCAGCAGCATCCCTGGCCTCTCTCCACTAGATGCCAGTAACATTCCCCTATCTGTGACAAACAGAAATGTCTCCGGACATTCCTAAATGTCTCCTGTTGGGGCTGTGTGGCCAAACTGCTCCTGTAAGAACCACTGGCAGAAGATGGAGTGCTGCAGGCCTGCTCTCTTTTCTGAGAAGGGGTCCTCTTTCACTTTCCTAAAGTTATGATACCTCAAGCAGGAGTTTGTGGCAGAGTCAGCTGGGGTGGGAGCTGACTCTGTGAACCGACTTCGGGGGTCAGGCAGATGAAGTGCCCCTGGGGATCTGGAAATGAACAGCAGAGAGCGGAGGCAAATGGCCAAGCCTGTGGTATGTCAGCAATGAGCCTGGCAGCTTGCTGAGGGGGGCTAGGAGGGTGAGAACTGGGGCAGATTAGTAGGGGAGAGGGTAGAGCTCCCCAAGCATGGTGTCACCCTATCTTTCAATAGTGAAAATAAGCTGTCTATCAACAGCAAGTAGCTCAATAAATCATGGTGTGTCCATATTCATGAATGAGGAACAGCTATATATACTGACATGGAAAGACATCTGCCCCAGAATAAATGGACAAAAAGCAAGCCATAGTGTGTATTACCAAAACCAAACCAAACCCATTGCCATCAAGTCAATTCCAACTCATAGAGACCCCTGCTGAGTTTCCAAGGCTGTAAATCTTTATGGAACAGATTGCTTCATCTTTTTTCCCTGGAGCAGCTGGTGGGTATAAACTGCTGACCTTCTGGTTGTCAGCCACATGCCTTACCCATTATATCACCAGAGCTCCTTACACCATAGTACAGTGGTTAGGAATGTGGATTCTGGATTTAAATGGCAGCTCCTTCACTTCCTTTACCTTTATAAATCTTTCTAAGCTTCAGTTTCCCCAATTCAAAATGAGAATAATAACAATATGTAGTCCTTAGGTGTTAAAAAGCAAAGATGGCCCCTCAAGGACCAAGGTGCATCTGACCCAAGCCATGGTATTTTCAATTGTTTCCAATGCATGCAAAAGCAGGACAATGAATAAGGAAGACTGAAGAAGAACTGATGCATTTAAATTACGGTGTTGGTAAAGCATACTGAATATACCACGGACTGCCAGAAGAACAAACCAATCTATCTTGGAAGAAGTAAAACCAGAATGCTCCCGAGAAGTGAGGAAGGTGAGACTTCATCTCACGTACTTTAGACATGTTATCGGGAGATACCAGTCCCTCGAGAAAGACATCATGCTTGGCAATGTAGAGGGTCAGTGAAAAAGAGGAAGACCCTCAATGAGATGGACTGACATAGTAGCTAAAACAACGGGCCCAAACACAGCAACAACTGTGAGGATGGTGCAGGACAGGGCAGTGTTTGCTGTTGCACGTAGGGTCACTGTGAGTCAGAACCAATTTGACAGCACCTAACAACAGGAGCCGTAATGCACAGGAAACACTTAGAACAGTTTTTGGCATGTTGTAAACCCTCAATAAATGGCAGGATTATGATGATGTTACTGATTAATGATGATCACTGGTGATTCTGTTAGGGTGTATTTTATATACATATATATATATACACACACACATATTTTTTTTTTGCATAGATTACTTATTTAGAGCCCTGGTGCCACAGTGGTTAAGAGCTTGACTACTAAACGAAAGGTCAGTGGTTTGAACCCACTAGCTGCTCGACAGGAGAAAGATGTAGCAATCTCCTTCTATAAAGATTATAGCCTTAGTATAAGAATGTCCAAGTGTATAGTAAGTAGAGCTGACAAGAGGCAAGGCTGTGGTGACTTCTTGGCCACAGCCAACTACCCTGGGGAAGCAAGTAGTTGGACCTTTGGGCTTAGGACCATGGTCACAGGGGACATCAAGCTCAATTGGCATAACATACTGCACAAAAACATTTTTCTACATCCTACTTTGGTGAGTAGTGACTGGGGTCTTAAAAGCTTGCAAGTGGTCATCTAGATGCACAATGGGTCTCTCCTCATCCAGAGCAAAGAAGAATGAAGTAAACCAAAGACGCATGGAAACAATTAGTCCAAGTAGACCATAAGACCAGAAGAACTAGCTGGTTGGTTCCCAGCTACTACTGTCAACCACTCAGAGGGGGATCGGTGCAAGAGAGCTTGGCTAGAGTAGAACAACGTGGAAGAAACCCAAAATCATTAAAAAAAAAAAAAAAGGCTAGGTTTATTGGTCTGATGGAGCCTGGTGAGACCCCTGAGGCTATGGGCCCTAGTTACCCTTCAGGTCTGGAACTGAACTCACTCCTGTGACTTCCAGCCAAACAACAGACAGGCACATGGGGTGAACATTTACATCAGGGATATACATTCCTTACAGTGATCAATCATGGAAGAACAGAGGGCAGTATTTACACAGGGAGACAGCTTGGGGGGCAGGAATACATGGGAGGGAAGGAGACAGGGAAGAAGTAACTACAGGGAGGAAGTGGGAAGAGAACAGTTACACTGGGGGAAATTGCAATCAGTGTCATGAAATAAAATGTATACAAACTGCTGCATGGAAAATGAATTTGCTCAAATCACAATAATAAAATAAAATAAAAAAGATCACAGCCTTAGAAACCCAATGGGGCAGTTCTACTCTGTCTTACAGGGCCTATGAGTTGGACTCGACAGCAACAGGTTAACTTCCTAACTTACCTATTTTATATTTTGTATACAGGGTCTTGTGTAGATTAAAGGACAGCAGCTCTTCAGCTCAGCATGAGGCTAGGCCATGAAGTACTCACAACAGCTCTGTCTCCCATTCTCGGCTCTGGTGATTCAGAGATCTACCCTATCAAGTTTGACATCCTGAGATGACCTGACACACCTCAAATGAATAGCTGGGAGTGCTTTTTCCCAGAAAATAATGATTCCCATTTCCTCCCTATCTTCAAAGGACCACCAACATTTTGTAAACATTTCAGATTATTAGGGATATTTTTATTTCTTTTGAATGGAGTTGTATCAGAAGGAATGAAATTAAATGGGGCGTGTAAAGAGCTTAAATGCTAGTTACCAAGAGGCCACAATGAC